ATTGAAAAGTGAAGAGTGTTCAAATCAAAAGTAATGAAAACCTGAAATTAATCATAATAGAGAAGGCATAACAAACCCAAATGAGGACTTAATGGCAACAAGATTCAAATCAGCGGAAACCGAGAAAAAGACACATTGGGGGATAATGTAAGCAAAAATTGGGGTTTTGGAAATTTAGACTTGTGAACAGAGCAACAAAAAGAAAAAAGAAAACGAGGTTTTGATAGAAAACACGATGAGAATACTAGTTGTCATCAGGAAATATATAGGTTTTTGATAGAAAACCAGTGTGTAAACTAGTTGCCATCAGGAAACATATGCTTTTCGGTAGGAAACACCAACGAAAATACTAGTTGTCATTAGGACATATATCAATAAATAGAGGAATTTATAGTAGATATTTTTTTTTTTTAGAAAAAGGAATTTAGAATAGATTAACCTGTATATGGAATTTTTTCTGGAGCAAACTACTTTCTCTTTAAGCTTAACCTGCCAATTCGAAACAAATTAAAACAAGAACAAAACTCAACTAAATAATACCAACCTGGGATCGATTTTCAAAAGCAAATTCATCCATAAATTTAAACTGCAAAGTTGTAAAAAAACGCGACAGAAATCCTAACCCACCCAATTTCTGAGATTTGACAGCAACCTAAAAACTGAGCTGTAAATAAATCCAGATCTGAATACTACCAATAGATAAAATTTATTAAAAGAAACAGAAAACATATTAAATGCAAGTCAGAGAGGAACAAACAATGCGTCTGAGATATCAAGGTCAGAACTTGAATAAAACCAAGATCAGAAACACTAATTATCTCATCTTCAGCTTAATAAAAATTAAAAATTGATAAATAGAGTTAGAGAAAACTCACCTGATATGCTTGTGGGCAGAGCAAAAATTGGATTTTTAACTCAAAGTTGATGCTTTTCCAGCATTTGACTATGGATAAAAGAATTCCCAGAGAAATACTGGATATTGTGAAGAAATCGCAGAGAAGAACATTACTCGGTGTTGAGATTTTATGGGTTTAGAGATGACGCGGATAAAAAACTTGTAGATTTCAGTGTTCGTATCGAAGAAGTCAATCAAAAAATGAGAAGACTACGACCAAGAATATATCGTCGCTTTGGTCGTGAAAGCCACCAACTTGAAACAAGGGCGAAGGTTCCTTCTCTTGGTTTCCTTTTTTTTACTTTTTTTTCCTCTTATTTTTATTTATTGTAACATAAATTTGTTAAATTATGTCAGGTGTATTTTATAGCATCTTCTCTGTGATGAATTCCATGTAACCTCGAAAGTAACGTGATTCTAGTCAAATTTGGGCCGGTTTGATTGTGTCCCATATATTATTATTATTATTATTATTATTATTATTATTATTATTATTATTATTATTATTATTATTATTATTATTATTATTATTATTATTATTATTATTATTATTATCATCTATTTTATTTTATTTTGAACATATCTCATATATAATTCTTTTGCTAGAATCACATATAACATATTGTGTTAAATTTTAGGAGAAATTTTTAAAAACAACCATTTTGCAATTTTAATGGGCAAAATCGGTCTTCCCTAAAAATAAACAGCAAAATCGACCATTTCAGTCGATTTTGCTGCGAGAAAGATTTTCGAACTGCATGGGACTAGTATTCACGTGCAATTAAGATGCTAATGACTACCCCTCGTCCGCCTGAATCTTCTTTGTCATCCTCTTTAAGCATCCTCCTTGCTACAAATTAAGCAAAACAAACCACAACGACACTTTGTTGAAAATTAAGCCTCCAAATAATGTCGACTAAGGCTTGTTAAAAGCGGTGGTCGCGCCGTCGACAACGAGATCGTGTCCGCTGATGAACGTCGACTGATCCAACGCCAGAAACATGGACACCTCGGGGACGTGGCTTGGCTTCAGAATGGTCCCCTGCAGGTTGGTCTTCGCGGAGCAGAGGTCCTCCACCGTCTGCGGGCTCAGGCAGGCGAATGACGTCGCCACGCCATAGGGCGACACGCAGTTCACCCGTATCCCGTGCGGCCCGTACTCCCTCCCCCTTGTCCGCCTGAATCCTCTTCGTCGTCCTCCTTTCGATCCTAAAGCCCACGAGATCCCAAAGTCCTCATCGATCACATCCACCACTTGTTCGTCACCGCCACCGCCAGCTCAAAGACGTGGAAGGCTTGGGGGTGGAGGAGGAGGAGGAAGTAGCCGACCGTGAGGGGGCGGAGACTAGGAGCTTGATGGCTTGATGGCTAGTGGTCGCGGACACGCTGGAACTTCTTAGGGATTGAGGTGGGATGTGAGAAGCAGCATTGGAGGTGGTGGAGGAGGAGGCGGGGGGAGGAGGAGGTCATGGCTTTTTCCTATGGTTAGGGTTTGGTTAGGTTTTTTTGTGGGTTCGGGGTCGGCGGGAGAGGAGAAGGGGGAAGAAAATGGAGGAGAGGATCTTGTAACTTGGGATTGAGTAATTATCTTAACTGCACGGGACTAGTAGTCCCGTGCAGTTCGAAAGAGTCGAGTTTGCTGTTTATTTTTAGAGAAGTTCGATTTTTCTTATTAAAATTACAAAAGAGTTGTTTTTAAAAATTTGTCCTAAATTTTATTATTTCCTATGGGCCCGTTTGGTTGCCTCCTCTTTGGTTGACAAAAAAAGTGGGTGGAAATCAATTTTAACAAACTATTTCTTAAAATAATTTTCACTCGTGCGTGTTTGTTTGCATGGAAATAATTATGAAGTAGCTAAAGTAAAGAAAGTAATAGTTACTTTTGCTATTTTCGAGCAAAAAAATATTTTTTTCTCTTAAAAATCAACTTTCAGTACTTTCCTAAATATTGATGTGTCGCCTACGTGTCATCTCTACTTTCTAAATATTTTTTTGTCCCTTAAGGTTTGGAAGTAGCCCAGAAGTAGGTGAAATATGCATTTATTTAGGAAATAAATAATTTTTTCTATTAATATTTTCTTTATTACTTACTTCCTAACAATTTTTCATTGCTATCCAAACAGGAAAAAAGAGAATGAATAATAAAAGTATTATTTTCACTACTTTAAAAAATATTTAAAATAAAAATAATGCATGAAGGATGTAGGCTGTCTAAAAATTATTGCAGATATCTGATCTCAATCGAACACCGATGATGGAAGTTATAATCTGACGGTTTCTAGAAGACTACAATTTAAAAACTTTTACGTAGATTGATGAAAAGTCTATTACAACAGCCTTCACAATCAACATCGGGAGTTACAATCTGACGACTCTCTTATTTTTAAGGAGCCAAGAGAAAGGTTACAAGATGACGATATTTGTAACGCTCCAGCAAAAGAGCCTACAAATTAACGGTCTCTTTAAATCAAAACACAGATATATATCAAACCGTAAGAAATTTGGCAAAACGGATGTGAGTAAATCGAACCCTTAGGGTGGGTTTGGTCGGCTCCGTCTTGTCGAGATAGTCGATTTTCATATATAATTCGTCCAATTCTGACTTACGATTTGAAAGTTATGACATGTTCTTCGCAGCAAGTTATATTCTAAAATCCGTCTGCAAGACTGGACTTAGCCTGAAGTTCGCCAAGCTCGCATGAGGCTCGCCTCTGCGTTCTAGAGTCAAAACGCAGAGTTCATCTCTGTGTTCTAGATTCAAAACGCAGAGTTCATGGTTGTGTTCCAGACTCAAAATGCAGAGTTCATGGCTGCGTTCCAGACTCAAAACACAGAGTTCATCTTTGCGTCCTAACAACAAAACGTAGAGTTCGTACCTATGTTTTTAGTCTCAAATGTAGAGTCCAACTCTGCGTCCCGGGTCCAGAACGCATAATTGTTAGACACTAGAGGGGGGTGATTAGGGTCTTATGCTAATATAATCTGATTTTATACCAATTAAAATTTATTAATAAATTATTCTTACAAGATAGATATACAATATGTTATAAGCAAGAATATGCAATATGATCAAAGAGATATATCCTAGCAAAGAGGTATATGATAAAATATATGTAAGGATATATAAATTAACACAAGGGTAAACAATTTAAACTAAAGATACAATTATGATAGGACAATATAAACAATGCAAACACATAATATGATCACAGAGTTCGGACCTTAAGTCCTACGTCTCTGCTCACCACTCCCGGGAAGAAATCCACTATCATAACCGGGTTTTCTACGCTCACCCGAATAACCTTTACACCACACAATAAGGTTTTCTAGCTAACCGAAAACTTTATAATCCACACTCTTATAATCTCACTTTACATCCTCACAAGTGTTGGTCTCTAGCCCGTGTCTCTCTTAAATGTTAGGAATTATAACCTACCTCTAGGCATTACCACCTACTGCACTCCTCTTGGGATGACCCCGTCTCTTACCACACACTTCTCTCAGTGTACAAGTGTATTACAAAGTGATCTACATAATTAGGCTCACAAATATAACAATGGTTGTTCTCTTCAATTGATGAGAACTCAATTAAGCATAACTCTTAGTCACAAACACACAACCCCAAATTATACTATGAATGTAAATACAATAAGCTCAATAGGTTGTGTGTGAACAAAGAGATATAAATCAAAACTAAACTCAATATAGTTCTAGCTTAATAACAATGATAATCAAATATATAAAAGAGCTAGAAATAGAGTTTAGAAAACTTCTCAATAGATCAAGACTGGATGGATGTATATTAAAGCTCAAACAAGATTGATGATCTCCTCAAGCTCTTGTGAAATTCTCTTCACAAACAAACTCTTAAACACTCTTTTAAACAAACTCAAAACAAGCTTAAACCATTATTAAACTCTTTTAAAACATTCTCTTAGATGGATATGAAGGATGAGAGCAAAGGGGTATATATAGCCACCAAAAATCTCAGCCAAAAACACCAAGCAAAAGACCAAAAAGTCCACAGAATCAAAAATCTGATTATGTACAAAATATAGT